ATCCCGCTGCTCCTGAGCTCTGATTGGCTGCCTCTGGGGGCATCCGCCCAGCGACAGAGCCTGTACCCTCACCGATAGGCCGTGGAGCATGATGCTGCTTAGTTGGACCGGTACACAGCTGCTGGCTCACCTGTGTGGACTCACACACACACACACACACACACACACACACACACACACACACCTCTGGCCTGTATCATCAGATGAAAACAAACTCGAGATTTAATTGATCCCCTTGAGCTCCGCCCGTTTAAAACCTTTGATTTAGACGTTGTGATGTTGGCAGAACTACGATCCCTGATCTTTTCTTACTCTGTTTATTTTATATATGTGGAAATTCTCGATCTCATAAATCTGATGAGTTGAGATCCGTTAGTTACGTTAATCGTGGGTTTTAAAGTTGGATTCATCGAACTCTCTCTGAACGACACAAACGTGGAAATGGTTTTAAGAAATCTGATCCGTTCCGTGTGCGGCTCCACGTTCTCGCTCCGTTTGTGGACGAATTTCATTCACAGAAGTTTCACTTGAGAGTGAAAAAAAAAAAAAAAAACAACTTGACACTTTCTACCTCACAGCCCTGCAGTCGGAGATCAGCAAATGAAAACGTGTATGTGAGGGTGTCAGTCAGCTGTCGATGTCAGAGTCGCTCAGTGAAAATAAGAAAGAAATGATTTGACTTGGAGTTAAAGAGTCTAAACCTGAGACTAGAGGATGAACGGAGAGGTAAAATCTAAAGTAAATGGTTTTTCCCCACATATCATCTGTGTGAATAATAAATTAAACATCGTTCTTTGTTCAAACATGCATTTTTTTCATCCAATAGGACAAAAGACAAAATCTAAAGCTTGTATATTATCTGTATCTAAAAATGATTTACGATCTTATGGTTGAAAGGACGTCATCCCTGTGAAATGAATTTATTACAAAATAAAAACCGTAGCCCTGCCTGATACTCGGCTCTTGCAGGTTTTAATCCGATGCTTTTCCTTGACGGTTTGAAACTTTAGGATTTTGAGGCTTGAACGTGACGCGACCTTCACTTCTCACGGACTGGAACCAGTTCGAGGTCCCGACACAGAAACGTTGTATTTTGATCAAACGGCTGCTGCTGCTGTTGTCGTCAGTCTTCACTAATTGAAGTGAAGGCTTTGCTCCTGTGACCGACCTCATTGAGTTAGTGAACCTTTTAAAGGTTTTATTACTGAAGCTCAAACAGACAATTACAGATGGCTGTAAAGAGCATGTGGTGGTGGAGGACATTCTTTATGTCGTCTGCCCTTAGTCTCTCTCTTTGTTTTGCTGTTTTCATTTCTCCCCCTTCCTCTGTTTTCCCTCCTTCTCTTCTTTTTTGCTCTGTTCTTTTGTCTGCTCTCGTACAGTTTGTCGTTTTTCTCTCCCTCCTTCCACTCAATCTAACCCCCTCTCCTCTCGCTATTATGAAATTGAAAGATGGATCGGTGTTGTTGGCATACAGCGTAGCGTGTGATGAATGAGAGCTGTCCACCCGGAGAGAGGGGAGGGTACAGTAGTCTATACGGCCAAGTATAGATTGATGTTTTCATATCGCGAGGAGGGAAATGTAGGGGAGATGGAGGGGGAGATTGAGCCTAAGGATGGAAGGAATGTAAGAAGGACAGGTGATGACAGAGGGAAGGGAGGATGTGGACGGACAGGATGAAACTGTACATCAGGAGGAAACCATCCTGGGACAGTCGACGTTAAAAGACCTCAAGTTCCTCTGAGGCCCAACAGAAGCATTTGAACACATTCAAGAGAGCTGGTTGGAAATGAAGGTTTATTTTGTCTCAGTGAAGATTCAACAAGGAGTCGATGAAAACAACACATGATAAAAATGAAACATGCTGAACACGAATGACGTGCGTTAACAGGGAAGCTGTTGATCAATTAACGATCAGCTAACGTTTACGATGATTTAAGATATCGTTAGCTTGGTGACGTAGCAACGACCCACAGGTCTAGTTGGAGCTACGTACATGCTAGTTCGTCAAAAACATGCTAACTAAACAGAACAAGAGGCAGCGTAACGAGCTAGCCTGCTAGGTGCCAGGTTGACATATATAGTAATATATATTGTTATATTTAGGTTCCCACTCTGACCGGCTCTTCTCCTCCCTCTTCTTTTAAACGTGGTTCTCTCTCCCTTTCTTTGCAGCCAGTCTGATCCGGCTCTCATCCACTAACCAAGTCCCCAATATTGATTTACCTTCAACTTTCATTTAAGCTCAGAGAGAGAGAGAGCGAGAGAACGAGGGGGAAGGAAAGGAAGGAGCAGGGAAAGTAGTGAGCCTGTTAGCGGTCCACCCGGCTCGCTAAAAAATTAGACGTCACCAATCTGTCACCATTTCACACCCTCACCTTCCCTCGCTTATTCGCCCTCCCTCCTCCCCCCCCCCTCCCCCAACCTTAATCACCCTCTGTGCATTAATGTGACATGTTTACTGCTCTAACTAACAGCTCATTATGGCCGACTGATGCTTTGTCAATAGCTATCGGTTCATCTGGCTCCGTCCGGCCTTTAAACAAAGATGTCCGCCGTGAGAAATGGACCGGAGTCCGGGACCTCGCACACTTCCTGCTCAGAAACCAAGAGGGGAGGGGCTGATTGTTAACGGCCATTTTTAATTGTCCAGAAGAAATTATAACTAGCCTTTCAATTAAGCCTCAACCAAGTTCATTGCACACACACACACACACACACACACACACACACACACACACACACCTGCCCACCCACACTGAACTTTGACCTCATGACCCCTAAAGCCCATTTTGTGTTCTCTTGCTCGCTGTGTTGGTTTAATTTCGACCCGTGACCTTTGCCCCTCATTCATATGTATCTCATTTGAAATGGTAAATACAGAAGTGAAAGCTGAAACAACACAGAACACTGTTAAAAAAAATAATATCAATGAGTAAATATTTAGATATAATAATGATTCTGATGATAAAATAAAACAACTTTCCGACTAGAAATGCAGCTGAAAGTGATTTTCTATGTGTGTGTGTGTGTGTGTGTCTAACTTTCCGACTAGAAATGCAGCTGAAAGTGATTTAACCTGAATTTAAGTTAATTGAAGTTAAAGTAACTTTGAGATATTTTCGTTGTCAACATGATTTCACTGCTTCCCAGGTTGATTTTAATTTACAACTTAAAATGAAGTTATAGTTAATTCATCATGCAAATTCACAGTATATTATATTATTTATTTAAACTTGTGAATTGACTTGACTTGGCCTTTTTGGGAACACATTTTGTTGTTCTCTTTAAAGACGTTGAATATTAATATACATGTAATAACAATAAGTTTGTTCAATCCTATAACATGTCGTCAATCAACCGATCAATCAATTATTGTTTTGTTATCTGTAATAATGAATTGAGGGGATCCTCAGTATATTTTATAGTAAACACGACTGAGAGGAGAAAATAGAGTAATTGATTTCTGTGTGGTCTTGATGATTTGTAATAATCATTAACTGAAGGTCAAAGTTCCTTCACACAGCTGATATTTATAGTCCAGTGTTTCGTGTCTTTTGACGTATGCAACAGAGACATGATTGATTTCACCTCTCGCTGCTGTTTGTTTACCTCGTGTTGATCACAGGCCGGGGGTCGAAGTTCACCGGCCTGTCGCCGAGTCGGTCACAACATGCTAACAACACGCTTCATCTGCATGTTTGTCTCTGACAGCTAACGACATGAGCACCACTGCGCTTGATGTCTCTCCGTTTAAATCCAGTTAGCTCTCTGTCGCTGCTCGCAAATATAATTACGCCACCTCTATCTTTCATAGCGCCAACTACAGGCCGTGTGTGGACACATAAACCAATAAGGGAGAGGGTTTTGCCATTTAAGGCGGGCTGATGATAAAATGCCAGAAGATCCAGATGATGAGATTATCTGTGTGTCTGGAGACTGGAGGACCTTCAGAGCCACCACAGGATTATAAATACTCACAGTCAACCATCATGTTGTGTTGTATCATGTGTTCCTTCATATTATGACTGTTTAACATTGAGATGTAGAGTGAAAATACACTGGTATCGATCTGTGAATGGATCCAGACAGTGAAAGATAAGAGCCCTCGCGATGCCGGAGCAGAGACAACAAAACAACGTGACGAAATAATCATTTAAAAAAAAGAAGTAAACGACTGTTCTTCCTTCCAGAGAGTCCAGATGCATCTTCTCTGTTCACATTTCAAAATCCAGATTTTCACATATTATCACGTCTGCTGCTCTCTGTCGACGTCTCCCACCGACGTTATCTTTGTGCAGCACTCTGTGAGGAAATCTGCTAAAAGCTCTGGACGTCAGGCTGCTGTGGGTGAGACTGGCAGAGAGACACAGAGGCCTGGTGGGAGAGAGGGGGGGTTGGGGTTAGTGTGTGTGTGTGTGTGTGTTGGGACGATGGGGGATGTTATTGAGGGATGGGGGATATTTTCTGGAGTCTTAATGGTCAGTTCGTCCCTACAGAGACTGGCTCAAATGTCAGGTCAGCTCTGAAGTGACCTCCCTCCTGCTGCCTCTCCATATCCTGTGTGTGTGTGTGTGTGTGTGTGTGTGTGTGTGTGTGTGTGTGTGTGTGTGACATCATTTTTATCGGAGCCTCGTTTTAAACATTTATTATTTTTGTACATGAGCTGATTTCTTGTTTAAAAATATCTGTATTTATTTAATGTCCATGTTGCTGCCGTGGGGCGTGGCCGATACTCGAAGTCGCACAGAGCTGATGATGTCATTGGCGTTTAACAGCGATCTGTTTAAATGAGACGAGCAGATCCGTGTTTTTTTGTTTTCTTTCACACTTTCTTTATCAACGTTCCGACCCTCATCTCCGGTCCCGAGCTCTACAGAACAGGAAGTGGCCCCAAATTAGTTTTCCGTGTTGGGTGTTTGGATCCAGGAGCCGCCGGTTTCAGATAAAGCTCCCACAATGCTCTGCTCTGATCCCACTGGTTCTCTCCTGTTCACAGGTAAGGCGCTGACCTTCCTGCTGCTGCAGCCCCCCAGCCCAAAGCTGCCCCCCCACAGCACCATCCGCCGCACCGCCATCGATCTGATTGGCCGAGGCTTCACTGTGTGGGAGCCGTACATGGACGTGTCAGCGGTGCTCATGGGACTTCTGGAGCTTTGTGCCGACGCAGAGAAGCAGCTGGCCAAGTGAGTCCGCTCACACACACACACACACACACACACACACACACACACACATACACACACACACACACACACTCGTTGCTTTCATTGACGTCATTACATTTTCTATCTCATATTCTGAACTAGATCTTTGAAATTAATTCTGTCTCAGTAAATAAAACAGAAGTGGATCAGAGAAAATATGTCACAAATCATTTTCTTGTCGGTGGAAGTAAAAAACTTTTTTTTTTTTTAAAAGCTGCGGTCACGTCTCACTTTTAAACTTGTGGAATATTTTTTTTTAAAGGTTTTTGAGACATTTCACTCTTTAGATAGTTTTTACAACTCAGCCAACAAATCTGTCAAATAATTCCTGAGTCTCGTGTAATGATGCGTTCATGTTGATAAACACTGAATAAACCGTCTGAAGCTGCAGCGGCTCAGACTCGGCGGTCGCGCTCACCAGCATCACCTCCGACCTCCGGTCCACAGGAGCAGGTTGAGAACAGATCACTGTTAAGTTCACACTGAACATAAAGAGACTGGATCACTTCACTTTCTGCTCAGCAACTGATTGGTTGAATTTAATGTTTGTGTTCGTCGACTTGACTGTTCAGTCCTCCCTCTCAGAGTAAACACACACACACACACACACACACACACTCTGCAGAAACACTTAGGCCCTATAGAGCCGACACACTGAGTTATGGAAGCCAGCCTGTAATCTGATTGCAGGACATTATGATGATGTAACAGTGTCTGCGTTGCTCTGACATGTGAGTCCTGTGTCTGTTTTCATGCGTGAAACACAACTGAACGCTGGATATTACCCATGATCCTCTGCTCCTTGAGCCAGAAAAACTGTATCAAATCCACCGAAGTCTGTTTAGAATTCATTCATATTTTAAAAAGTTCAGATAAACTCTGGTGTTTAACGACAAACGAGACCCTGTCGACTGAAGTTACATTCATTCGGTATAATCACTTGATTTGCATCCGTCACTGTGACTGCTGATCTGAGTTCAGCTCTCCGAGATGTTGTAGTCAGATGTCGGCGTTTAGTCACTTTCACTTCCTGGACCATCAGCATCACAAGCGGCAGTGAGGAGGTCGAAGGTCACGGCTGCTTTGATACAATCACAGTGAGGTTGTGGTTAAAGTGGAGCAGCATTTTACACAAGTGAAGGTCACAGGTCACGTAGAGAGGCTCATTCACTGGAGTCTGTATGACACAAAGGAGTGTGTGTGTGTGTCTGTGTGT